ACCTGCTGGCCCCCCAAATTTTAAATTTTTAATTATGTCCAATTTATCTAGTTTTGTTGCTTATGCTTTTGTTATCATGTCTAAGAAGTCATTGCCTAATCCAAACTCATGAAGACTTATGCCTATGTATTTCTTCTGATAGTTTTATAGTTTTTGCTCTTATATTTAGATCTTTGATCCTTTTTAAGTTTTGCAAGTAATAAGAGATAGAGTTCTTTTGCGTGTGATTATCCAGTTGTCTCAGCATGATTTTTTGGAAATGCTCTTCTTTACCGTAACATTGAATTGTCTTGGTACCCTTATCAAAAATCAGTTGAGTGTAAGTGTGAGGGTTTATTTCTGGACTTTTCAGTTCTGTCCCATTAATTTATCTGTCCTCAGGGCAGTCTGACACTATCTTAATTACTGTAGCTTTGTAGTAAGTTTTAAAATTGGTAAGTGTGATTCCTCCAACTTTGTTCTTCCTTTTTACTACTGTTTTGATTCTTATGAGTACCCAGAATTTCTGTATGAATTTTAATCCCTAGAAACTCCATATGAATTTCTACAACAAAACCAGTTGGGATTTTATTGACTTATGTAATCAGTTTAGAAAATATGCTCATCTTACTACTAACTCTTCTCATTCATGAACATGATGATATGTTTTTCAATTTATTTAGAGTTTTTGTATGTTGAATTATGTTTAGTTTTCATAGTATAAATGTTTCTCTTTTGTTAAATTAATTTGTATTTTGTTCTTTTTGGTGCTATTATAAGTAGAATTGTTTTCTTAATTTCACTTTTAAATGTTCATTGCTGATGTGTAGAAATACAATTGATTTTTATAGTGATCTTACATCCTAAAAACATACTGAATTAATTTAAAAGTTTTAGTAGATTTTTTAGTGGATTCCTTAGGATTTTCTATATGTAAAATTAATGACATGTATAAGATATAGTTCTTCTTTCTTTCCAGTCTCGATGTCTTTTATTTTATTTTATTTTTTTTTGCCTATTTGCCCTGACTAGAACCTCCTACACAGTTTTGAGTAGAACCAATAAGAACAAGCATCGTTGTCTTATTCCATATCATGTGGGGAAAGCATGTCTTCTTTCACCATTAAATATGATGTTAGCTGTGTGTTTCTCATAGATATTCTTTATTAGGGTGAAGGTATTCCCCTAACTCTTAGATTTTTAGCTTTTTTTTTCCATTAGTATTTAATCCTATTGGTTACTGATTTCCTTTGCTTATATCCCCACAATTTGGTGGCTTTAGGAATTTATGTATTGATATAGCAGTATGTTTTTATATGTTTAGTTCTTAAAAGGTAATTGATAGATTACAGTAAAGGAAAAAAGAGCTATTTTGAGACAAACAATTCTTATAAAAATACTTATTTTTGAAGAGCCCATCACTAGGTCTTAGTTTTCCTATGTTAAAAATATGAAACCTTCCTGTCTTCTAACTTGTTACTTCTCCAAAATACATGAAGTAGCAAAAGGTTGGAATGGGGTATGTTTGCTATCTGATGTTTTAAAAATTTATAGTTGATTTTTTCTATTTTTTAAAGAATTATTTTATTTAACTTAATTATTATTATTTTAATTTTACCATAGAGAGACAGAGAGGGAAAGTGAGAGAGCAAGCCTCCAGGTCTCAGACTTGAATTGGAGTCAACCATGTGGAAGTCCACTGCTCTTAACTACCATGCCACCTGCTAACCCAAAGCTGATTTTTTTGTTAAGTTTTTGTTTGTAAGAGGTTTTGTTTGTTTATTTATATGTTTTTGCCTTAGGGAGCATGCACTTGTCAGAGAGAGAGAGACAGAGACAGTGAAAAGGAAAGTGAGAAATCATCTCCTGGGTAATGGGCATGCTGCAATCTCTTCTCAGTTCTCCTCTCAGGTCCTTGGGCACACATGCAAACACACCTGGCATGATTTTCAAGCCACTGTGTCCAGACTCAAACCTCAGTTGACCACGTGGGAGTCCAGTGACATAACCACTACACCATCTGCTGGCCTCTAAGTGTTTCTTTCAGTTGGAAGAAAATGACCAATAAAAATTTGCCTGTTTTTAAAGGGGAAAAATACAAATATTTTTTTAAAAGATATACTGGATAAATTATAGCATTATTTCAATTAATATAAAAGATTTTCTTATTAATCATTTTTTCTTATAAAATATTTTTATTAATTGTAGTCATTTATTTTTAATCATTTATTGTAAACCCACATTATAGATGTGAAGAAAATCATTCTCCATAACTTTGTCTAAGGTTTCATGGTACACATCATAGAGAACTTCTACTGTTGAAAATTAAAAATTAAACAACAAATAATAAAATCTTCTGGTGTCCAGAGTTTTAATCATTAATTAATTTTATCACCATAAAATAAATGCTTAAAGTTATTTATGAGTAAATGATTAAAAATGAATAATTTATAATTATTAAAGTAATTTGTTTTATGTAAAAGATTTTCTTTAATAAAACTACACATATTAAAGTTTATTTCAAATAATTGCTTTTTAGTGAATTATTATTCTAGTATAATATCATGTGTTTTTCCTATTTGTATTCTAGAAATGGTTATTTTAAATTATGTGGTAGGTACCTGTTTTACATTGGCAGTGTTCTACCAAGTTTATCCTAGAGAGATGGTATTTCTGAATGCATGCAGTTTAGAAGAGTATTCTTCAAATGTATATATTATTCTTCAAGCAACATAGGGATATAACTATATCAGAATATTTTAAGCCTGCCTATACATACAAAATAGAAAATTAAGTCATTAAATTAATCCACATGTTTTTTAAGTCCCATTTACCTGGACACCAAAGGATTTCATTTTTTTATTGTTGTTGTTTTAATTTTTAATTTTCAACAATAAAAGTTCTCTATGATGTGTGCTGTGAAACCTTAGAGAAAATTATGGAGAATGATTTTCTTCACATCTATAACATGAGTTTAAAGAAACTGCATGTTAGCAAAACTGTCTTTAGAGAGCCTTTTCGATTTTACGGCTTAATAGTTTTTTGTACTTGGATTATTCTGGTGTATGCTTTACCTGCAAGCTAAGTTACTATCAAAGAGACTGCCTAAGGCCTCTCTAACTCTATAAAATAATACATTTGTTTTCTCTACAAAGTATAGGAAACGTGTGTTAGTAACTTCTAAATTATATGAAGAACCTTATAGTAGGATGCCATCTGAGTCCAAGAACACTGCTACTGTAGAGTAGTCATACTTTTTCAGCTTCTTTTAAAAGGTGTGCTGGGACCAGCAGATGGTGCAATGGTTGCTGGACTCCCATGCAGTCAAGTCCAGCGATTCAAGTCCCGGCAGCTTAAAATTCATCGAGGAGTGGGAACACTGTGCGTGTCAGACAGGATCCCAGGATAAGGGATTGTGGCATGGCTATTCCCCTGGGGGGTAATTTCTCACTGTCTCTCTGTCTCTCTCTGGCAAGTGCATTTGCCCTATAGCAAAACTCTCTTTCTTAAACAAAAAACAAAAAGGGTGTGTAGACAAACCATACTGTCATTATAATGACTAGTCACAAAGTGTTAGGTTCCATAGCAAGGAAAGTAAATGACCTTTGACTATATTTTACAAGTCTTATAACCCATTGTACCTACTAGATGTCAAGCCCTAAACTAGTACTAGACGTTATCACATTTGTGGGGAGTTTTGGTTTTTTGGTTTTTTTTGTTTTTTTTTTTGCTAAGAGTGTTATCTTTGACTGTAAGTAATAATTAAAACAAACAGAAAATCATATACTCAAGTAGACTCATTTCCCTTTCCCTATTACCATGGTTTTAAAAATTTCTGCTTGGCCTTTTTTTTTTTTTTTTTTTTTTAATGGAGAAACTGTACTCTTTACTCCCTTACATTCTGATACCTACTGCACAGTTTTTTGAAAAGCAGAAAAGATCAATTCTCTGAGTTGGATTTTTTTTCCCTGCTGTGGAGAGTGCCAAATTTCCTTGGTAGATGTCTTCTGTGAACACCATTACTTTTGGAACTTAGCAGAATCGCCATTTCCATGGAAGAAGAGAATCTGCAGTTTATTCTAGCTGAAAAGACACAAATAGTCGCTGAGAAAGAAACTAACATGGAAGAAACATGACAATTTAGAAAGGCCCAGTCATCACAGTTTTAACTTCGAAGAGTCAAAAGAAGTAGTACCTTTAAAGAAGCTATTGATCTGCTTGAATTCCTGTGTATTCCTTAATAGCATTAAAGCTATCTCCTTGCAGAAGAAGAAAAAAATGACGTGGTGGGGCATCTTATGTTTGGTTCCGTTGCAAAATGCCATTATACTTGGCTCCACTGATTTTCAGAAGACTCAGAGGCTCTTGATGGAGAAAAATTAGTCGAGAATCAAAATAGCTGTTACTCCTGATAAAGATAGTGAAAAACAAGAAACCTAATCTTCCTGGACTTCTAAGTGGAACTGGTTCATAGATACTGGTTTTTTAAAGACCTACATATAACCATTTTTCTACATGTAATCTGATGCTTCTATCTTAGTCATTTTATTTGCTGTCATATGAGGACACATAACTCCCTACCTCACAGGGATGTTGTGAGGCAAATTTTAAATGTTCCTAAGAAAAGTTTAGAAATAATAATTCTTGCCTGTCTCTTTGCTGATAGTTTCTATAGTCATAAGGTTTTGTTTATTTAAAAATTTACAGGTGTTTTCCCATAGTTATGAATGAATATTAGGTAACGTTTTTAAATGGAAGATAATGAAGATGTATTTGATTTACCAATGACCATCCTTGTATAAAGAATTAATTTGCATGAATTGTTACATTTGATTTTTTTAATTAAGAGATTTTATACAAATATGATTATTAAAGAAAAGCTAAAGTAAAAAATGTCTGGTTTCCCCTCTTATTTAGTTGGGGTTTAATTATTCATACCTATGAGATAAAATGTAACCCTTTTTAATGGAGAAACTGTACTCTTTACTCCCTTACATTCTGATACCTACTGCACAGTTTTTTGAAAAGCAGAAAAGATCAATTCTCTGAGTTGGATTTTTTTTCCCTGCTGTGGAGAGTGCCAAATTTCCTTGGTAGATGTCTTCTGTGAACACCATTACTTTTGGAACTTAGCAGAATCGCCATTTCCATGGAAGAAGAGAATCTGCAGTTTATTCTAGCTGAAAAGACACAAATAGTCGCTGAGAAAGAAACTAACATGGAAGAAACATGACAATTTAGAAAGGCCCAGTCATCACAGTTTTAACTTCGAAGAGTCAAAAGAAGTAGTACCTTTAAAGAAGCTATTGATCTGCTTGAATTCCTGTGTATTCCTTAATAGCATTAAAGCTATCTCCTTGCAGAAGAAGAAAAAAATGACGTGGTGGGGCATCTTATGTTTGGTTCCGTTGCAAAATGCCATTATACTTGGCTCCACTGATTTTCAGAAGACTCAGAGGCTCTTGATGGAGAAAAATTAGTCGAGAATCAAAATAGCTGTTACTCCTGATAAAGATAGTGAAAAACAAGAAACCTAATCTTCCTGGACTTCTAAGTGGAACTGGTTCATAGATACTGGTTTTTTAAAGACCTACATATAACCATTTTTCTACATGTAATCTGATGCTTCTATCTTAGTCATTTTATTTGCTGTCATATGAGGACACATAACTCCCTACCTCACAGGGATGTTGTGAGGCAAATTTTAAATGTTCCTAAGAAAAGTTTAGAAATAATAATTCTTGCCTGTCTCTTTGCTGATAGTTTCTATAGTCATAAGGTTTTGTTTATTTAAAAATTTACAGGTGTTTTCCCATAGTTATGAATGAATATTAGGTAACGTTTTTAAATGGAAGATAATGAAGATGTATTTGATTTACCAATGACCATCCTTGTATAAAGAATTAATTTGCATGAATTGTTACATTTGATTTTTTTAATTAAGAGATTTTATACAAATATGATTATTAAAGAAAAGCTAAAGTAAAAAATGTCTGGTTTCCCCTCTTATTTAGTTGGGGTTTAATTATTCATACCTATGAGATAAAATGTAACCCAACTCATCAAATTCTAATGATAGAAAATGAAAAATACAGTGATACAATTAAAGAAAAAAATGAAAATCATGGATTGAGATTCATAGAGAGATGCTCAGAATTTAGACTCTGATAAAAATGGAATAAAATTCTGTGGTACTAGGTAAAGGTGAAATCTCAGTGATATTTTCACCAAAAAATAGGATTATTGTAGGAGTAGAAATTTGATTAAACACATGCTTCATATCATAGTAGAAAAATTTTTAAAAAATGTGTCTCTACTAAATGAAAGGAAAATGCCTTTAAGTTAAAATTTATGCATAGAAAAATTTAATAGCTTGCAGAATTTTATTTCATTTGAACAATTTCATTTTCATGACATATGTTTCACTTAAGTCAACCCATTTTTTCAAATCAAAGGTTGGGCAAAGCACATGGATTGTTAAGTAATGGCTCTGAGAACCAAGATTTAAAGAAAAAAATTTTAATTGCTATCAAATTTCTACTTTCTGTTGTTTGTTCTCACTGAGTTACAGTATGAAATGGCAAATCAACTCAAAGTGAACTTGGGGACTCAAGTGTATAATCCTATGTTCATAAGCAAATAATTTAAAATATCTTTTCTAAATTACCATATTATCTAACTGCTTGTTTTGTTACTCATGTATATGTAAGAAAAAAAGGAGAAGAAGTAATGGACATAGTCTTAGGTTAATAATGTTGGGGGATCAGGGAAGCATTTGAAAAGAGAATGTTGTGGGGTTTTTTTGTATGCCTTGCTTTCTAAAAATATTTAATAGCTTTAGATGAGCCTTGCATACTTTCCCAGAGACACTACTACTTCTCCATGTATACCACAGAATTCACTCACTTATGTTGTTGAACTTGTTAAATTATTAAACTTGTGTAGGAAAGGGGACTATAAAAGGACCTTTCTTTTGCTAATTCAGTTTGTCCCTCTAATTTTCCTCCTTTAAATCATTTTATGATTTTTACAGAGATGCCCAGAATTTAGACTCTGATAAAAATTGAATAAAACTCTGCTCTTTTAGGGATTTTGTGTATATATCCATGTTTACTGTCGATGATACAAGTTGATCCATAATGTAGAATTTTTTATTCACTTGAATGCACATATGTTTGAATATCGCAGTAAGAATGACATTTTGTAATTTCTAGTCTCATAATAATGAAAAAAATATATAAGCAGTGAGTCAGTTTTAAAATAATTAGAAAATTCATAAATTTTATGTTTAAACAACAATAAAAATGAAATTCTTTTAGAAAAAATTTTGAACCTGGTTTCTATTGCCCCTTCTGATTTTTTACCAAAAAAAAAAAAAAAGTTGAGCGTGCTACTAAAGTTATTTTTAAAATTAAAATATTTAGAGAAAGGGTACTTACCCCGGCCCCCTTCTCCCCGCAAATACTGTATGCATCTAGATAAAATATGTGCTCTTCTGGCCAATCTATTTTAGAAAGCAAATATTAAATGTAGTGAATATGTGCTTCAGTAATAATGAAGATATGTAATAATATTTATTAGTTACTACCTTAGCAGTATTACTTTTCTGGTATTTAAAACTTAGAAGGACTTTCTTGTATCAGTTCCCATTTTCTTATGGGAATAGTTTATAGAATGCATCCTGAAACTGATTTATTTAAGGGAATAAATTCCTGGGATAAAATGTAAATAATGTAATGTTTTAGTATCATGTTGTTGGTTTCCAAAAATTCAAAACATTCTTATAATCATCTTTCTCAAAAGTAAAGGGTTAGTACTTGTGTTCTTTTGGCTATGACACCAGTTGGATTCACTTAGACAAATCACTTGATCTCTTTGACCTTCAGTTTCCTTATCTGTTAAGTAAAAGTGTGGGTATGATTTCTAAGTTCTCCCCTTGATTATTTTTAAATGATCTCATCTTTGGTCCAGGAAATGATAAAGATGTCTTCTTGTGGTCTTCTATGGCACGTCATGAGATTCAGTACTGAGTTTATAATCATGAAAACACTGAGAAATATTACTGTGCTATATAAAAGAACCCATCGTACAGGGTATATTAGCCATCTCTCTTTAAACAGACTGTTAAGAAGAAATAGTGTTTTGCATTATTTCACACATAATTAAATTTATTTAAATTTCTTCCAGATTGTACTTAGAATTCAAAATGTGTGATTTATCAATTACTACTTTTCAACAATAGATCCACTATAAAGCACAAGAGATAATTCATAGAATCGTGGAATGGATGATTATCTTGGAATAAATTTCTGAACTATAATGCCATCAATAACTCAGCTTGCATGTTGTGTTACGTCTTGCACACTTGGGAGTGTGTTTTAGTAGTATTAGGTTATAATCAGCAAACTGAAGAAAACTTGCTCTACCAAGTGGTTCTTTCTGGAATATGGTATTAACCAGTGAAATATTATGAAGGCACATATGCAGTTCTTTGGAAAAGCAAGATGTAAGCACTTAATAAATTATATTAATATACTGTTATGTGTGGAAGTAATAGAACTAAATAACAGACCTTTAGCACTTCAAATAGTGTTGCTATCTTGTCTATAAATTATACTTTACAATTTAAGTTCTAGACAATTTATTAGAAAAAAATTATATTCATAAAGGCCAGGAACAAATGATCTTTGCTTTTAATTCACTGAACTTTAATGATACCAAATGAGAGAAAAATCCATCTTTGTTATTCTTCATTTGTTTTTCTTATTCAAGAGATAATCTTGTAATGGTCAGTTTATTTAGCAATATCAGTGAAAACTGAATGTTAGGCTATGTATACTATCCTATAATACTTCTAAAGATTAGACGATAGTGTATATGGATGTCTATTCATAGAAAAAGCCTTGTTGGATCCATATTTAATCCTATATTTTTATAATTTTTTAAAGAATTATTTTATTTAACTTATTTACTTATTTTAATTTGATCAGAGACGAACAGAGTGAGAAACAGAGACTCAGGGACCAGCAGTTAGCATAATGGCTATGTTGCTGGACTCCCATGTAGTCGACTGTGGTTTGAATCCCGAACCCGGTGGCTTAAACTCATGGTGGGCGCGTGTGCGTGCTTCCCCAAGATCCCGAGACGAGAATGGAGGAGAAGGGATTGCGGCGTGGCCATCCCCCCTGAGGGGTGATTTCTCGCTTTCCATCTCTCTGTTTCTCTCTGCCTTTCTGGAGAGCACACACACCCTATAGCAAAAACCTCTCCAAAAAAAAAAATAGAAAGAGAGTCAGAGACAGTGAGAAAGTGAGAAAGCAAGCCTCCAGGTCTGGGACTCGAACCGTGGGAGTCCAACACCCTTAACCACTACACCACATGCTGACTTCTATTTTTATAATTAATGTTTTATAGTTTTATCTCTATCACTTTATCTTTCACAATTGTCTCATTATAGTTAAGCTATGGAATTTTTCTAAAATCCGTAGATACCAGAATTAATATTTGACTCTAATCATTTGTTTTTCTACATCAGTCTTTCCTTAACATGTCTTGAAGAAACTTTGTTTCTATATGGAGACCAAACTTCAAAAAGATGGTAATTAATAAGATTCACTCATTATTTGGCACAAAATGGGTAATGAATCATTAAAATGTGTAGTTGAAATTCATCCATGAGTATTGAGTCTTTAGGCATTTAATTCATTTGAGGACATACTGTGCTTTAGGTTACGTCAACATGTTCATGTTGATTTTGTAATTATTTACATTGGCAAATACCTTAAGAGGGCTTAGTGAGTGTGCGTGTGTGTGTGTGTGTATGTCTGTGTGTGTGTAGTGATTGTAAATGATTATAAAACTGGTGGTTAATATTTGCAAAGCAAAATTATTAAGAAGTCTTAGATTTGGTTCTCGCCTTCTATCTCTCTGTCTCGCTCTGTCTGTCTGGCGAGCACACGTGCCCTATTGCAAAAACCTCTCCAAAAAAAGAAGTCTTAGATTTGGATAATGTACATAGTATAAGCCATAGTAAATTCATCTTATTCCTTGCATGCTTTCGTTGCTGTTTAGTGATATATTGGGTCATTGGAAAAGTGATGACCTATTTTCCTATATTTTCCCATGCAAAAATGCATCATGACTTTTCCAAGGACCCAATAGTAAGAATATAGCTTTATATATAATATACTAACATAGATTTAGTATAATATATATGTGTATGTGTATATATATAAGAATACAGTCTGCATGTTTATCAAGTAGAAAGCTAAATGCTTTAGTCATGCTTTGAGCTAAGCTTTATATTTTGAAACCATCATAGCATTAGGAAACATTTGAAAAACTTGTCCTAAGACTTCTTAGATTTACATGTAAGGGTAGAGCAACCCTTCAGCATGTAGAAGGGGGTTTTAAGAAAAGTCACTGTTTTGTGAGCACAAAATTAGAACTTAACAATATACCTTCAGGGGCCAGCTTATAATGTAGTGATTAAGGCACTGGACTTCCACATAGCTGGCCAAGGTGTGAGTCCCAGATTTGGCAGCTTGCTTTCTCATGTTCCCTCTCTTTCTCTCTGCCCCTCTTTGGTCAAATTAAAATAAATAAATTAAATTAAATCTTTTTTAAAAAAATATGTTTTCCAAAATAGGGTTATACACTCTAGATAGTTTAAAAGTTGATTCTAAATTTTATTTGAGGGTAAAAAGGTCAATAGTAGTTCCAGTATAAACCATTGATTCTAAAACATACTCAGAGGCTGGGAGCACCAATGACCTTTACAATACAGTTATCTTCTTGGACTGTTATATGTATGCATGTACATATTTAATCACACAAGTCAGAAATTCTTTAACGAGTTATGTATCTAAAATCACCATGAGTCTATTCACATAAGCAGTCAGTGGCGAAACTATGCACAAACAGCCTTTTCTGGCAGTTGTTCGTGCGTAGGTTTGTTCTAGCACTTATTTAATATCATTTATTGAGTATGGCTTCACACCAGCATAAAGGTGGATAAGATTGCCCTCAAGGAGCTTCATGAAGCAGTGGAGTGTAGACATACTTGATGATTTAGAGGTGATCCCCCAGGTGCGCTGGAAGAAGAATCCCCCAGCTATCTCCATGGTTACTTCAGCATTGTGATCTCATACTTCCATTTGTACTCTTATGACAAATACATGCTTGCTAGATACTGTGCATTACATTAGTAGACCTGTTTAAGTGAGGAAGCAAGAAAATAATGACATAAATTACTATATACTTACTGGTATTAAAGTGCCTTGAAAGAAGAGATCAAAGTGATAGAAAGGATCGGTGGTGACATGGCTGGATCTTGAGAGCAGGCCCTTTTATGGAGTTACATATTATTCATCCGTCTACTGACCAGAGATAGGCCCACTCTGGAGGGTATTTTCATGGTATTAGCCATTGAAAATAATGTATAGAGAAAGATTAGGATGGAAGAAATTAGAAGATTCTTCACTATTTCGCTTTGAGAGTCAGGGAATAGGAAGAGAGAGACATTTTCAGTCCTAGCCCAGCCTGGTAGCCCAGTGAGTAGCAAACTGAACTGCAATGTGTAAGCCACACGGCCTGCCTCAGGTTTGGATCCCTGGGGTGGCTTAAAAACACACCAGGCACATGGCACATGCCCAGATCCTGATTAGTTGGTGGGCCAGGGAGAGGGGATTGCAGCATGATGAGAATCTTGAGCGTGCTTCTGTTTCTTTTTTCTCTCTTTCTCACGTGTGCTTGTGCTCACACTCACATTCTGTATTATGAATAAAACAAATACACTTAATAATAATTAAAAAAAAAAAAAAGGTAACTCTAGTTCACTAGCCTGAAAGCTTTTTTGAGAACAATTGTCCAGTAGAGTGCTTGACACACAGTAGATATGTGGTAAACATTTGTCAAATCAGGTGATAGCTTAACTGTTCCTTTTTATTAGTTTTTTTCCCTCCTGATGTTAGGGTAGCAAATCCTTGAGAATAAAAGAAATATGTTATTACATCTATATCCAACATTAGACGCACGGAAGACAATATTGTTGATTTATTATTTTTGATACTTGCTTAAATTCAGTTCAGAAATTACAAAACACTGATAGCTTATATGATTGTACAATAACCATCAAAATACTAGCATTGCATGTCTAAAAAGACATGCAAATCTTAATGCAGATGGAAAGTGGGATTATCACTTTTTTTTTATCTTTCTTTGCCCAAAAGCCAAAACTTATAAATGCCCAGCTTTGTAGAATTTGTCATATGGTTCTCAATTGCTAAAGAAGAGGAACTTCTGACAGAATTATAGATTCAGAATATCGTTGAGCACTGTCTGGTAAGCTCATCTGTGAATATAGTGTTAAGTAGTTTCAGTAAATGGAATCTAATATAAGGTGGTTTTTTCCCCCTATTTTGAATTTCTTTATTCACTTCAACAAAAAAGAAAAAAGTGCATTTGGAAGAATTATTTGACACTGTTCTAAAGAATGAATTTTTTTAGGTTGCAGATGAAGTTTATTGCCTCAAGTTATGTCATCTTATTATAATTCATGACTTTTTTTTCCTTAGTTTATTTCTTCTATGAGAAATAGAAAGTGAGATAGTACCCACAACAGGGTCTTGATACCACAGTTCACTCCTAACCAGTCAGTTCCAGATCATGGACATGCGCATGCTTGGTATACTCAGGGAGGTTTCTCGACATGAACCTGGAATCTTCCATGTGCGTCATCCTCTCAGAGCATCTTGTTAACCACTGTGCCACCCTCTGGTGTCTTAAATGTTCATCTCCAAGATACTCAGCATGGTAGCTGGACTCCCAGATCTGTATTTATGTAGAGTTTCTCCCAAGGCTTTAACTTGATTTCTCTAAGTCAGTAATAATCACAGAGATACAATGTAACTGGCTGAAAGATGAGAAAATAATCATCACAAACTCATAAAATAAAGCATTTACATAAGCAGTTCACTATTATGGGTGAACACAGTGTGATAAAAGCTCCCAGACTCCCAGGTCATGGGGTATGGTTTTCCTTTAAGAGCATATTTTAGATCCTAGTTTTAGTGGAATGTGCATTCATCCATAGAAAACAGCCGAGCAGATATTAATCGAAGAGCCTGAAGTAGTTCCACAGGTACTCACATTTATGTGTGTTATAATATTATTTACTTTAAAATTATTTATGTAATTTTATTTTTTATTATCATTTTTATTTATTTATTTTTAATTTGACCAGAGAGAGAGAGAAGAGGAGAGTGACAAAGCAAGTTGCTAGGTCCAGGACTCCAACTGTGGTCTGCTATGTAGGAATCCTGTGCCTTAACCACTACGCTACCTGCTGGCCCCAGAATTATTTACTTTCTGGATAGCAAATGGGATTGAGGTTACGTAACTGGATCCCATGTGGCCAACTTTGTGGTTAGAGTCCCAGACCTGGCCGCTTGAAAATCATGTCAGGAGCATGTGCATGCATACATATGCATACCCAAAATCCTGAGAGGAGAATGGAGGAGAAAGGATTCCAGCAAGGCCATTCTTGCCTGGGGCGTAATTTCCCACTTTCTCTCTTTCACTCTCTGTATCAGTCTCTCTCTAATGAGTGTACTCACTGTATAACAAAAACTAAAAGGAAAATTATTTACTTTTCATGTAAATAAAGGTGAAGCATGCAGTCATCCATCTCTACAGTTAAGTCTTGCAACTTTGGATATTAATCATGCAAATGTCCATTATTTTCTTAGCCGCCAAAAGGAATGTACAAGTCCTTCTTCTATATTACTTCGTACATATTTTTAACCTATCTCTTGAAATACAATTTGCAAGTTAGCTATGATGCTTAAGGACATTAGAACAACAAATCTGTTTAATCCATACTTTACCTGACCAAAGATTTTATCCCAGCCGTAATAGTTTCATTTCTAATTAATACAATCACATTATCACTAATTTTTATTATTCCATATTCCAGTTAAGTTCATAAACTAGTTAAATCCATAAACTGGTTGAAAAGTAGTCACCTTTTTTCAGTGATCTCTCTACATGACATCCTCAACACCCTTAATATATAATTATATGCAGCTTAAGTGGAGATTGTCCATAAGGTAATGAAGGGGAGGAATAGCACATGTGGAAAAAAATCTTAAAAGTTCAGTTAGAGGGGGCCAGCAGGTGGCATGGTGGTTAAGGCACTGGACACTCCCACATGGCTGACCATGGTTCGAGTCCTGGACCTGGTGGCTTGCTTTCTCACTTTCCCTTTTTCTCTCTGTGTCTCTCTGGTCAAATTTTAAAAATGAACGAATAAATAAAATTAAATAAAACTAAAAAGTTCAGTTGGTAAAGCCACAGGAGTATTCATTTAAATCTTAGTTCTTTTGCTGTTACATGGATAGCAAAGTCCTCATCCATTACAATATTTGCATTTAATAGTCTGCGTTAATTAATTCAGACTTAGTATTAATGACAGTATATAAATGAAGTTCAGGTCAATTGTCTTCATATCATGTGTGACAGTTTTGCACAAAGAACAACTCTTTCAAAGCCACAGTTGGCAAAAGAAGGTGTTAAATCAAGGAACACTGAGTTCTTATGGTGAATATATTCAGGTCTGCAGTGCTGCTGGATAAACAACAGAGCAAATGCCCTGCTGACTGGCATTTCAGTGGTATCATCTTCCTGTGGCTAGAGTGGTGAATCTTGCTGAATCAGTCTGGCACTGGAGTACAGTCAGACTTCACCACCTGGGCCGGTAAAGTTGTTTCTCAGAGATAGGAGACCTCTGCTTCCATCCAGCTGATCAAGAAGGCTTTAAAGGAAAACCAGAAAAGCCTCTCTTGAGAGTAGCCAAGCATCAGTAGTGGACTAAGTTATTAATTCTGGACTCTATTTACTTATTATCATTGCCCTGTCCTCAGAGTTCATTTGCATAATTCTTTTGATCATGGTCCTCGCCTTTGCATATTATTTACATAGCATGTGTGTGAATTAAATATATGAAGTGATAATTCTGCCTCAACTAACAGTATATAAAGTAAAATTTTGTTTAAGCTATTTCTCAAACATTTAGTTTCGAGTGGTGATCTTTGATTTTGGCCTCCTCTTCAAAAAGAAATTTAAACTGAAATGTTAAAGTTCTCATTCTGAGTATCAAATGTTGGCCAATTAAATTATTGCTTAGTACTGATTTATAAAAGATGGAAGGATTTTATACACAGGAAACAGATTTTACTGTTTTCATATTCAAGAGGTTATCAATAAGTTCATAAGGATTGCATATTATGACAAAACTATGCATGGATTTTTAAATTTTTTGCACCAGAATAAAATCATACTTTTTTTTTAAGAGGTTTTTGATATAGGGCGCATACACTCACCAGAAAGACAGAGTGAGACAGAGAGACAGAAAGTGAGAAATCACCCCCCAGAGTGGATGGCCATGCCGCAATCCCTTCTCCTCCATTCTCCTCTCAGGATCTTGGGCACGCATGCACACGTGCCCGGCGTGAGTTTAAGCCACCGGGTCCAGGACTCGAACCACAGTTGGCTACATGGGAGTCCAGCGACATAGCCATTATGCTAACTGCTGTTCCCAATAAAGTCATACTTTAATTTCATTGTTTCACAACTGTTTTGAAGTCCCTTCAAATTCCTACCAATTTTAGCTTTGGCTGAATCTCTGCTAATAGCATCTTTTTAATTCTGTCAGTACCTAGAGTGAGGTCTATTATTTTATTTATGTTTTTTCCCAACAATACTATAGTAAATGTGCTAAACAGTTTTTAAAAATAATTATTTAATTTTATATATTATTATTATTATTTTTTAGATTTTGCTGTAGGGCATGTGTGCTCACCAGAGAGAGAGAGGGAAAGTAGGAAAGCAAGCCACCAGGACCAGGGCTTGAACTGCAATTGGTCTTGTAGGAGTCCAGCCCCTCAGCCACCACACCACCTGCTGGTCCCACTAAACAACTTTTAGGGTGAATTTTCGTTAAGTGACCTTCTCTCAAGGGAACAGATGTTTTAGCCTCCAAAATGAAATCAGATTATAGACAGATATGAAAATATTCATTTCTGCCTTTATTCGACTATAGCAATTGTAGTACTATTATCCTATAAATAAG